CCAGCCACTATTTAAAATGGATGTAGAAAACCAGTACCATCCAAGAATATGTATATTTAATCAGCCACTTTAAGCAGCCTTTCCTAAATAATCTATAGTGGACAAGAAGCAAGCAAAACTATGCTAACTGAACTCAACAAACATCTTGTCCACATCATCAGGTTTTTGTAAAGTGAAACCCATTCAAAGAAATCTGACCAGAGATGGTCCTAAACATTTCTACAGATTGAACTGTCAGAATTGTAGATCTTAATTCATTTTGAATTTGATGAATTGTGCCTCAAAGTGTCTACTCAACATGTCACATTGAGAGCTTTATATGATATCCAGCTAGGCCAGATTCCAAAAGATACCATACCAAACCATTCAGGAAAGCTTTAGTTTCAGGTAAGTTTAAGGATTAAAAAGAAAAAAAAAATAGAAAACAGCAAAAGAGGGACTAGAACGTTGATTTTGGAAAGTTAAGGGGCCAGATGGACTTAAAAGAATATTTCCTGTGGGTTGTTTAAAATTTTATAAAAGTGTATATGAAGATTTTGAAATTAATTTTAAGAAATCCTCCTGTGGGAAAGTTTTATTGATTGGAAAATAAACATATGATAAGAAGTGACTTTGAAGGTTGACTGGAGGGAACCACAGAGAACTAAGGATTACAATTAAAGAAGAGACCTATTAATACAATAGAGCAATATTATCTGAATATGGAAGAAATTAAGGCTGTCTGGGAACAATGTACTTAGAACTTACTTTCAAGATTGTCTGCCATTATAAAAATGGATCTAACAGAGGCCACAGAAGAGGAACAGATTTTACTGGACAAAATAGAGACTGAGGCTGACTTGAATTTGGTTTGAAAATGGATTTTAAAAACATGCCAGACTACAAGAGGGTTATGGAAAAAGAGGATGTGGATTAGAAAACGGATTTTAAAATGACAGATTATAAGAGTGATATGGAAAAAGATATCACAATGGATTTACAAATGAAACTGGCTGACGTTTTAATAACTAAAGGGTAAATACAAATAATAAGTCAGAAGAGTGACTTGGATAGTCTCCTTATCTAGGATCTACAAAAGGGACGTGTTAATCTACTGAAGTGGTTTCTGAGAAGAGACAAAGAGAAAATGATAAGAAATCAACTTGCGGGATATTATTTGACGGGATTAAAAACAAAGCTTTTTAAAAGTAAACGAAAGGAATATAAAATGAATTTATTTGATTACAGTTAAAGTATATATGTTGTGGTTTCTGGTACTTTTTAACCTATTTTTTTAAACCAGGACTGAATGATGAGGCTTTAAAGATTTGTTTATAAATGGGGAGAGATTTCTTTTCCTTTATTCTTCAGAGAAAGTGATAAGTTGGAATACAAAATGGATTTATTTGATTAATGTTAAAATATATATGTTATTTCTGTAGCTCTTAATAGACTTTTGCTGAACAGTACTGAATGACTTTTTACAATTTATTCATTGATAAGAGATGAGATATGGAAAGATGGTGATTTTTCTTTTTCTTTTATTAATGAAATACTAGAGAAGGTGTTAAGTTACTGAAGTTGTTTATACTTGTCTGGAGAGAAGGGGGAGTCATTTTTTTATATTTCTCCTTTTTAATTTTTTTCCTTTTTTTTTCTTTTTTTCTCTCTCTTTGTGCTTTTCTTTTTCTTTTTATCACTTTTTATATTTTTCTTAGTTTGTATTAGTTTTTTATCTTTGTATCTGTAAACTTTAACAAAATTATTACAGAAAAGCTCTGCTGGACCAGAACAAGAGGACTTAAGAATGAAAGTTAAAACTGCTTTCTTGCCACATAACCCACAGTTTAGATAGGTACTATGAAGCAGAACAAATTCTGCTATGTGGGAAAGAATGCACAGAAGCAATCATGTCAACAATCCCAGAGATCTTAGTAGCCAAATCTTAGAAAGAACTCAACCACACTCCCTGGAAAATGCTCCAGAGCTTCCAGAATCCACTGAAATCTATCATCCTCCACAGGCAGATGATTATATGTCCCCGTGCTTAGCTGCAGCAAGAAATAGTTGCAGCAAGTTGCTTAAATCTCAACAGGAACTGGTGTAACCATCCACAAGGCAAAAGATGTAACAGACATCATTTTCAGACATTCCCAGTAGGGAAAAGAAACAATCCGGAGTGTGACGTACTATAGGGGATGGGCCAGTAACAAGCTGAAACAGACTTACATTTTGACATACCATGTTTGATATATAGTTCTAAACATCCCAACTAAGGCAGTCCTAGCCTGGATACTAAAGTTACCTAGAATTAACATTTTAGGAGACAACCTCCATCATCTCACAGGGGGAGACTGTTCGGTGGCAGGATGGGTGGGTTATATCAGCAGAATCACCAGTCTGGCTCATATGTCCCACCCAAGAACCAAACACTCTAGATTGTCACTTGGAAGAATAGAGAGAGAAATAGGTTTTCTACAGGCTACATCAACTCTTCCTGCCCAATGCTCTGACCCATTCTAGTCCTGTACTGAGTATCCAGAGATCACAATTAGGAGAAACTAAAAATCTCCAGCTGTCCAACCTAAGCCTCAGTTATACATGGCAGGTCATCTCTCTCATCCACAAACCAATCATGATTGGGAGAGACTCTATTATTCACCAACCTGTCATTTAGCAACAAATGAGAGGGAAGCCAATATGCAGGTCAGAGGGAAGCCAGTATGGCCTCCATAGTTCAAATGGCAAGGGAATAATAAGATGTCCCACTTTTCTTTTCACCTGATATGTTATTCACCAACACCATACTTCTCACCACCTGTAGTTTCCTTAATTGGAGCCCCCTCATCCCTTTTCAGGATATTATTGGAGTATTATTTTAAGCACATACAGTAAAAAAGCAATGTGAGCTATATTCTTACCCCTGCTCCACCCTCAGAGTGGCTCCCACTTTCAGGGTTGGGCCCACAGAATTGGGCCCCAAACAAGCAGCCCATCACCTCTTCCAAGCCTGGACTCAATACCCTATAGACGGGGGGACTGGAAGTCTTCTTATCCAGGCCTAGAAGCATAGCAAGCTGCTGGTGATAGTAGAGTTGGAGAAAAAGCTGATGATGGTGAAGGTGCACCATGGACTTCAACTGAAATAAATATATTGCTGTTCCAAAACCAAGATCCTAGGATCTCTTCCTAGGTTTGCCACTGCCTCCTTCCTAAAGCCAAGAGAGAGTGACTGGCCCAAGGTCACCCAGCTGGCTTTGTGCCTAAGGCAGGATTAGAACCCACAATCTCCAGGTTTCTAGCTTGATGCCTTAACCACTACACCAGGGCCAGTCACTCTCTCTCAGCCCTAGGAAGGAAGCAATGGCAAACCACTTCTGAAATCTT